CCTACTTGGCAATGATTTTGTCCATCATGATGCACCCCATGAAATGCACCCAAACTTTGCCAAGTCTCCAAATTCTCCGAAGTCCAACGGACTCCTCACTTCCCTTTCGGGATCCAAACCTTCTTGGTGCTCTTCATGTTTGAGATGATCTTCTTTGGCACCCAAAAGCGTTTGACCCCATTATTGGCTTGCTTGTTCACCTTGATGGCCACCACCTTGTCATTTTTCTTTTTCTTCAAGAGATAAGGTGTGGAGGCCTTCTTGTCCACCTTGTTGGTGTAGGTGTTGGAGAACTTGCTTGTTTGCTTTTTCTCCTTCTTCTTTGCTCCTGCGCCATTCTTCACCTTGCACTCATAGGACTTGTGACCTTCCTTGTGGCACACATAGCAAACCATGGTTTGTCCTTCATCAAGCTTTTTCACTCCCTTGATGGTGTTATCTTGATGAAGTTGGGTTTGCTTCGCCTTGCCTTTCATTTGAGTCAAGTCCTTGGTGAGGCGAGCTACTTCTTGCTTGAGTTGCTCATTCTCCTTTGCAACCTCTTGTGTGCATGTATCTACAACAACTTTCTCAACATAAACTTGGTTGCACGAGGGTGAGTCTGAACATAAATCATTGCAAGAAGTAGAGACATTCTTTTTAGATATGTTAAAGATAGAGCTTTTCCTTTTAGATGCCTTGGAGGGGGTTGTACTAACGGCTTCAAGATTAGCAACTTTGTTAGTTAGCTCATCACAATGTTTGTACATGGTTTCCATTTTTGCAAGCAAACTTTTATAAGCATCTTGTGAGCTAGCTAACTTTTCTTTTAATTTTTCATTTTTCTTTACAAGTTGCTCATCATTTATTGTGCATTCATTTGTTGTTGCACTAGCCTTAAGTTGCTCAATTTTAGTAGATAGTTCAATATTTAGATTAGCAAAGTTCTCATATTGTTCAAGCAAAGTTTTGTATGCTTCTTGTGAACTATCTAGCTTTTCTTTTAAACTTTTGAGCTTCTTTTGTTGACTAGTGCAAACTTTAGCATATTTGATATTTTGTTGCACAATTGCATCATAAGAAGGCATATCACCATCACTATCACTCTCACTAGAGGATGAGCTTTCGTTACCTCGTGCCATAAGGCACACATGTGAAGAGTTTGATGATGAGTGCTTGTGGCCTCGCCTCTTGTGATGGTGTTCTTCTTCACTTGAAGAATCATCCCATGATCTTATTGAGGTGAGGGCTTGGTTCTTGCATGCCTTCTTCTTTGTCTTAGGTGTGGGCTTGTTTGGACAAACTTCCACAAAGTGCCCCAACTCGCCGTATCCATAGCATCCTCTCTTTCTTTGCTCATTTCTTTGATTTGTGAAAATGAGATCTTGAATTTGGATGGGCACACCCTTGATATTGAGCCTTTGGATCATCTTCTCCACCTTGTTGATTAATTTGATTAATTCTTCATCAAGGTCAGAGGTGGAGGAGGAAGGTTGATCATCACTTGAATCTTCATCATCATCGTCGTCCTCATCTTCATCTTCACTTGAGGAGCTTGAGCTTGACCTTGTCTCAACATGCTTGCCCTTCATCTTCTTTTTCTTGCTACAAGCGAGAGCTTTGTCTTTGCTTGATGAAGAAGCTTCTTCTTGACCCATCTTCCCTAACATTTCAAATGCCACTAACTTGCCAATGACAATGCCCGGGGTCATGGTGCTCAAGTTCTCCATGTTGTGAAGGATGGTGATGATGCTTGCATATTTTTTGTGTGGTAGCACGGAGATGATCTTTCTTATGATGTCTGCATCATCTAGATTTATTAATCCTATTGAATGGAGCTCATTGATAATTAGATTCAAACGAGAGTACATATCACGAACAAGCTCATCATCATTCATTGTAAAGGAATCATAATTTTATTTAGCTAGACAATGATTTTGCTCACGGACATTACTTGTGCCGTCATGGAGCTCTTGGAGTTTTAACCAAATTTCATGTGCCGTATTTAAAGTAAATACTTGGTTAAACACATCCATGCTAAAAGATCAAACAAGCAATTCTTAGCTCTAGCATTGAAATGCATTTCTTTTTCATCACTCTTAAATGCATTTCTTTTTCATCACTCTTTGTGGGTTTTTTGGGATTCTTGATGGGTTTCATCCCATCACGAGTGACTCTCCATACACCCAAATCAACCGCCTCAAGGTGGCAAGCTATTCTAGCCTTATAATAAGGGAAGTTAGTGCCGTCAAAGTGCGAAGGCCTAGAGGTATCCATCCCAATCACTCTAAATGGCATCGGCTCAACGGTAGTTAAGCCAAAGGTCCAAATTGAGCCAACCGGCTCTGATACCAATTGAAGGGACCGAGACACCTAAGAGGGGGGTGAATTAGGCAACTTAGAAATCTACTCCTAAACTATAGCCTCTTTTTCTACCCTTAGCAAAATCTATGCAAAAGATAAACTATCTAAATGTGCAACTACGATTTTGCTAATGTGTTGCTATCTCTACCGCAAAAGGAGTAATGTAATTAATGTAAATACGAAAGCTAAAGAGCAAGGTAGAGATATGCAAACTCCCATCGACGACTCCGATATTTTTACCGAGGTATCAAGAAGCGCGCAAGCTTCCCCCTAGTCCTCGTTGGAGCCCCTCGCAAGGAATCCCTCGCAAGGGCCAATCTCCCGGTCGAGTAATTCCGTGGATAGCCTCGGGCCTTCCCCATGCGTAAGTGGGTCTCCGACGTGCCTTCCGGCAAGCTTCTCCCGGATGCTCCCCGCCGTCTTCACTATCAAGCTTCCGGCCGAAACGCCGCGGGCCTTGTTCCCTCCGGTACACGGTGGCGGCCACACCACAAACGCGGTTGGTGTGATCTCGCAAGACTACAAGCCCCTCCAATGTATAACAATGGTGCGCGCAAGCACCGAATGGTAAGAGGTATGCAAACCTCACTAAACACTAGGCCTAAACCTAGAGCAAGCGCATGAGCGGTGGTCTAATCAACCTAAGCACTTCGCAAAGCACCTACACTAATCACCTGATGAATCACTAAGCACTATGAAAGTGGAGATCACTAAAATGGTGTATCAACACCCTTGATATGTTTCCTCAGCTCCACTCTACTCAAATGGTCGGTTGGGGGTTGTATTTATAAGCTCCACTGAGAAAGTAGCCGTTGGGGTCGAATTCCCGCGAAACTGCTACTGACCGGACGCTGAATCGTCCTGACCGGACGCGTCCGGTCGTCCCGACCGTTGAGCCGGCAATATACTGATCGGACGCTGGCCAGCGTCCGGTCGCTTGCCACCAGACGCGTCTGGTCGTAGATTTGCCGCTCTGGAACCTTACTGTACTCGATCGGACGCTGTTGTCCAGCGTCCGGTCGGTTGCCGCCAACGTCCGGTGGAGTGTCCGGTCGCCTGTCTACCGAGTCCTCTGCCCAGCATCCGGTTGCTTGTCCAGTGTCCGGTCACCTCAGTGAGCTCGTTTCTTTGCGATCTTACGTACGGCTTGGTTCCAATCTTCGTGCTTAGACTTTGTTTGATATCTTGGGTCTTCTCTTGTGCTTCTAAGGTCTTTCTTAAGATGTTGATCATCGGATCACCACGTCGCCTTCGTTCAAGTCACGTCTTGCACCCTATTGAACTACAAAATAAATACTTGCAAATTCATTAGTCCAATTTGGTTGTATTGGTCATAAAACACCAAAATCCAAAGTAAATGGGTCAAGGGTCCATTTTCCTTACATGCAACATCCCATGATCTACTTTTGCAACATCCAAAAGAATCAACCGCAACATACCTTTGAAACGACTGAAACAGCTGAAACATACATTTGCAATATAGGGGAGGGGAAGCCTGGACCGGTCGATTCCAGTCGTCGGGGTCAGGCCAGCAGCGAGCGGTAGCGCACGAGCACCAGCGTCACCAGTACCGGGCTTGGCTCAGTGGCGATGGTGGAGGATGGGAGGCAAGGACCGCCATTGCCACCTGGGTAGGGTGAGCTCGGTGGGGGTTGGGAGGGCGCCGCGCCGGGGTGGAGGAGAGTCGCCCACTGCACTCCTCTGTAACACCGTCGTGCCACCTCCATGGATCTCGCCATGGACGAGCTCATTACTAGAGAGGACGCTCCCACCATGAAGGAGTTCGCGAACGAGGAAGAGTGAGGGACCCCATCGGAGGATCCATGCTGCGCCACGCCGGGCTCAAGCGCTGCCGTCTTGAAGGCTTACTGTGCCATGGGTGTGTCATGGGAGCACAAGAGAGAGAGGAGGGGATGGGAGAGAAGAAGTGTCTATTTTGGTGAATACTAGTGGAAACTAGAAAAAGGCTGATGTGGGGTAAAAAGCATGGATAAGAATATATGAGTGGACAGGGAGAGCATCAGGCATGCGTCCGATATTTTTAACGGCGTCCGGACAATTGTACAGTAGCATTACCGTTAGAACGGAGGATAAAGTACGGGATAGATGTTCGTAGACGTGTCTGATTTGATTGATTATTTAAAATAAATAAAATAAGATGGCATAAGAAGGGGCAGAAAGACCTTTTCAACGCATCGATGCTTTTTTCTTCCTCCCAAAGCAAGCAAACCTCTAGTATACCGCAATCACAGTCACAGGCGCCATCAGTCTCTCTCTCCTCGCTCCCGATAGGTCAGTCAAATACGCAAGGCGGTGGTGGTGGTCAATACCAAGATCAGAGCGAGGGAAAAAGGCATCCTACGTGATCGAAGGTGGATCATCGGAGGCATGGCGGCAAGCGACCCCTGCCTGAGCCCGACGGCGGCGAGGAGGAGGAGGCTCATCAATCGTCGGCGTCGCAGTCGCTGGCGTCGTCGGCGCCAAGCTCGAGCCAAGAGCGTCACTTCCCGCGGCGGCAGCAGCAGATAGAGCTCGGATGGGGCGGGGGTACTGGTCACGATGATCACCGCTACCTGGCTCAGTCTGCTGCGCCGGCACCGGCTCCGGCACGGTACCACGAGCAGGTCGCACAGCAAGGTGTGTACAGCTCCAGCACCATGGCGTTCTACGACGTGGGCACACGCTCCTCCGCCTCCTCATCGCATCAGCCGAGCGACATGGCCGCCGCAGCCGTGCCGGTGGCCACTGGGTCTCCTCATCTGCGGGTTCCGCTGGAAGCAGGGGCTGCTGGTTCCTCCGCGACTAGGCAAGCCGTGGACGTGCAAGAAGGTACTGCTTTTTTTTTCCTCCTAATCCAATCCATGAAAACATGCATGCGTATACTAATTCATTCACTGTACTATGGTACAACTAAACAACCAAACCAACCCATGCTGCTGCAAGCTATGGCTAGGCCTAGCCAACTGCTAGCTACCATATCATCGATCGATCAGTATAGCTAGGCGCTAGGCCTGATTTACTAGGATCGATCACTATGCATGTTTCTTACTCCACACATCAGGAAGTACCTGTCGTCGCCTGCTCTGAGCCTGATTTCTCCCGAAATTGCATTATGCCGATCGGCAGATCTCAGTCAATATATAGTGCCTAGATTGGTTAGGGAGCTAGCGGGGCTTTGTGGAATTGCAAAGTTCCCTAAAAAAGCTCAAGCTTGATCTTTCTCTTTCGGATAATAAGTTGGTACGGTTGATTTGCCAAACTCATGAAGACAAGACATATGAATGCAAGATTCCATTCCTTTTGAGTCCGGCGGTGATATGATATCCATGCATATATGCAGGTACGCCGACGACGATGCGGCACTACCGTGGCGTGCGGCGGCGACCATGGGGCAAGTGGGCGGCGGAGATCCGCGACCCCGCCAAAGCGGCGCGCGTCTGGCTGGGCACCTTCGACACCGCGGAGGCCGCCGCGGCTGCCTACGACGACGCCGCGCTGCGGTTCAAGGGCGCCAAGGCCAAGCTCAACTTCCCCGAGCGCGTCCAGGGACGCACCGGCCAGGGCGCCTTCCTCGTCTCCCCTGCCATCCCCCAGCCGCCGCCAGTATCAGCTCCCCCATTATTGATGCCACTGCCACCGTCTCCGGTGCCGTTATTCCCGGACCTCATGCGGTACGCGCAGCTGCTTCACAGCGGCGGCAACGTCGTGGCCAGCAGCACCGGTGATCCCGCGGCGCTGTCGTCGGTGCAGATTCTTGACTTCTCGACGCGGCAACTCCTCCGGGGCTCACCGCCGCCTGCAACGTTCGGCCGGCCGTCGATCCGGACATCGGCATCGATGTCTTCCACCACTGCGTCTTCTTCGCCAAGCATGTCGGTGCCTCACGTCGAGGCCAGGGATAGCGGAGTAGGCGAGGAGACTGGCACTGCTCCGCCTGACTGATTTAATTTTGCCAAGCATGCCTACCTGCCTTAATTAGAGCATCTCCAAGACATGCTCTTACTGACCATGGTGCCAAGCTTGGTTCTTGATTTAAGGTCGCATTTAGTAGGGATTCAATAGACTGTTTTCTGTCCAGAGTGAATAATAAATGGAAATTGGTTCCGGAGAAAAAACATGATAGCTAGTCTCTAACAAATGTTTCTAGCATCCAGGGATAGAATCAGAACCATTTCTTTGATTCTACTAAAAACTAGAGAATCAAAACCACTTCTCTTCTAGAAATTTCTTCGAGACATTATATTAAAATCTAACAACTGTACCTGTGCAAACTTGTCGAAATTAGAAGAGGAATCTCCATAACATTCGAATTGGAATCAGTTGAGCCATTATATTCTAGCAAATGTTCACTATAGCTCCTCTATACCTAATTCTAGCAACCCTGTTCGTTTGATCGTATCAGTCAGGCTTATCAGGCATGATGTTGTTTCGTTATGAGAGAAAAACACTGTATCATGACTGATAAGCCTGACTGATACGATCAAGCGAACAGGGTTGTCTGTTTGAAATACTGGCCAGACGTCGCTATGGTTTTTCATGCCACAGTCAAATAAAAAGAGTCGAATTTAAGCTTTCTCAGTTCACAGGCTGCCTAACATGGCCTTATCAACTACTGTAGCATATATCCAACGGTTCCTTTTAATTTCTCATGACTCGAATTAGTATTTCATGACGACTATTGGTGAATGCCTTTATCTCCTTAATTTACCGGTGCTTTCGAAAATGTACGCGAGCTATCGTATTTTATACTTCCTCCATACTTACAAAATGAAGTCGTTTGGGACAAGGCTTGGGTGAATATAAATTATGAATAACTTTTAAATTGTTGAGTTTAGAAATGTAAAAACCATATGTATAGATTTGTCTTAAAAAATATTTTCATAAAAATTTACATATATCACTTTTTTGATAAATATCTTTATAAAAATAAGTAGTCAAAGTTATGCTTTGAAGACCGTGTCGCTGTCCAAAATAACTTTTTTTTTAGTATGGAGGGAGTATATAAGCAACTTAAGGATACGCATCATAGATCCACCCATATCTCCACTGTTTCATTCATTAGTTACATCGTTACTCTTGACAACGACAGGAACGCACACATATATTAATGCACTCGTGGTGCTATAAATTAATATTTCATATACAGGCTTCTGGATACATCTAGACATGACATTTTTCTATTAACTATTTCTACATTACATTCTGTGTGCACTCAAATGAATTGTATAAGATCATCCAAAGTGGCTTTCACGTTTAGCCCAAGCGACTATCTCTGTTTTAAATTTTTCTATCTCAAGCATGCAGGAACCCATCATTGTGAGTATCTCCCGTACCTACTCAACTAACCCAGTTATATAGCACATTTGATTCCCAAATGCAGGATGCCAGGATCGTACCCAAGCTATATTGGCTTTCATCTAGTATGGTGTTTCGTTCAGTCCTTAGCCTTTGTCGAATACTGAGTTTTAGCAGACATTGATTTTCAAATATTGGTGTTCAAAACATTGGATTCCATCCAAAAGAGGGATTACTATGACCATTGGCTTTCGGTATGTTAGGGCATTGGTATTCGGAATTCATTGGCCTTCGTCAATCCACGAATTTTATTGCACTACAATTGGAGCGGGATAAAGCGCGACGGGTCGCGCATAGCATCGAGCGCGCGAACGCGCGATGCCACTCTCTGTGCCCTCAGACCTGCTGTCCTGTTTGGCACACAAACCAAAAAAGAAAAAAAAAATGAATTGCTATAACTTTGAATGGTGTATCCGTTTTTAATTTCGTCTGCACCGGTGTGTTCTAGGTGACGAGACGAACAAAATTAGACCCCACTTACCTATATTTCAAAGAATTTTATTTTAGTAGCAATTTAAGTGTGCTAAGAGATTTATGAAAGAAGCTGACGCAATGTAATACTAAACTAGCTACTTCTAAAATATACAAAAGCTTTACATGGTATGCACATCGATTGTTACCATGAAAATATAATAAATTTGATATAAGGTATTTACATAAAGGTACCGATTCCTAAAAGAAAGTAGCGGATCAAAACAAGAAAATGCAAGCTGCAACGTGAAGGGCAAATTATTAAAATAAATATTACATAAGATATCAATTAGGAGGGCAAGTTATTATACAACACAATACAAAAAGTCAGGAAACATGACTTGCTACCAAACTGGAGGTATTTATTAAAAAATAAAGGTAGCGGCACAAAACAAGACAAGCTGTAACCTAGGAGTAAATTATTAAAGCAAGCATTGTATAAGCTACAAACTAGAGGGGCAATTTATTATAGGAACCTTCATTAAAAAGACAAGAGTAACGACCAAAAAAAGACAAGCTACCAATTATTAGAAGAAGCATTGTATAAGGTGCTGACTTAGAGGTAAATTATTATACAACTAAAATATAGGATTTAAGAATACATTCGGACCTAAAAGAAAAATTAAAAAATAAAACTCAAAAACATTAAAAAAACTTCACTAAAAACTGAAACTAAAAAAATAAACAAAAGTTGACCGAAAACTGAAAATAAAAAACATTAAAAAAAGCAAAACTCAGTCCACTGATACTAAAAGACACAATGACAAAAAAACTAAAATTAAAATAACCAGGAATTAACTGAAATTGACTACTCTAAGACTTAAATTACTAGAAAATAAACTATAATTGGCCAAAAAAAATCTAAAGAAGACACAATAAAAAATTTAAAAACTAAAATTGAAATTACCGGAACTAAAAATGATAAATAAAAACTGATAACTAAAGTAGACAAAATAAGAAACACAAATGTAAAAAAAACAGAAACTGAAGTTGACAGCAAAAAAAATTGAAATTGACAATAAATGAAAACTAAAGAAAACAAAAAGGCAAAAAACGACGTCGCGGTGGCACCGCTGTACCCCCTGCGTAGCGCATACATGTCTAATTTTTTATAATTTGGTACTTTTTTTAAGAAAATTTACGTTTGGCCTCCTGGGAGACTTAAACTCATTTTTGGACCCTGGGGTCGGCGCCAGGAATCATGGCGCCGAGGTAACACATATCGGTGCCACAGATCTTGGCGCCAAGGTGCCTGGCCGAGCACAGCAAGCCATCCTAGGTGGCGTTCACGTGGCCGGCACCTCGGCGCCATATATTCTGACGCCGAGCATTGATTTAAAATCTGAAACCAAGTTTCCCTTGCCGACGCTGCTCTCATTTCTTCATCCCTCTCTCGGTTTCTTCCTCTTCCTACCCCGTCCAATCTCTTGAATCGACAGATTTGACCTTGGATACTTGGATTTGATTCATACATCTTCGCGAGCAAGGTATCCTCTCTCTCCTTATCAAATTTTACGCATTGATTTGGTATATATTACGTCTATTTTGTAACCCTAGATATGTTAGTACCTAATGTTTGAAGTGATTTTTTATATTTTGTATTATGTGATGGTGGGATGTTAAAGGCGTGGTAAAGCTAGTAAGCCTACCTAATGTTTGAAGTGATTTTTTATTTTTTGTATTATGTGATGGTGGGATGTCAAAGCATGATAAAGCTAGTAAGCCAAGGTAATCTCTTATCATCGTGCTATATTATGTTTTTATTTTTTGTATTATGTTTTATTTTTTGTATTTATGTTCAACTGTAGTTATGGCCGGATGACCGAAAATGCCTTCGACCCGTTGCCTCTGTCTAGTGGTGTTCCAATGCCCATGTGCTTTTACGACGATCTTTGCAAGGTAGCCAAGTCTGATGAAGAGGACACGTATAGGCAGAGGTATTGGATGTGTGCCAATTTTATGTTTGAGCCTACACTTTGTCAGCGCCGCATTAACAAGATGGTGAGAAATTAATGTTGTTTAATATTTATTGTGTCAAATGAAGTCTTGCATGATTTATTTGTTTTGTAACAATTGCATTTGTTGCAGACCCCTCCACTGCTCTGTGATTTTGAGTAGTGGATCGACACTTAGATCAAGCAGGAAGACAAGGAGTGGATGCAGAACTGTTACGGTGGGAGGCAGAGGACAAGGAGATGATGGAGAAGATACGCAGAGAGGAGGCTCTAGAAAAGGAACATAAGGAAGAGGAGGAAAGGAGGCGTGTTGCTTCGCACAGGGAGGAGAGAGAGAGAAAGCTTGAGCATGCGTAGCGAGCGAAGACAGCGATGGAGGAGAATCCCGATGCCCAGAGGAAGGGAAAGTGGCATCGTTGCACTCAGTAGTCTTCATAACTTGCTATTTCTATAGTATATTCACGAACAATGTTGTCTAATCTTGGACTTTGCATTGTGTTGCCATGTAATGCACTTTTAGTTTGTCGTCATGTACTTCAAATGTTGTTATGTTGATTAATGTGTTCTATTATTGGACCTTTCATAGTGTCATTGGTTTTATTATTTATTGTCATAATATTGAGTTTAATATTGCATAGGTAGTGAAACGAGGTCACGTAGTGCAAATAAAATGTAACGAAGTAGTGGATTACCTAATTCAACACACACAACACATGAAATGGCATGTGATAACATATACCAAACTAGGGTACAGAGGTCCTGAACTAAACCTAACATGCCTTAGGTAATTGAAACAAACAACAAGCACATGAAATGACATGTGAGAACATGTGCCAAATAAGGGTATATATTTCCTTCGACTAACCCTAATATGATTTAGATGATTAAAGCAAAAAAACAAACACATGGATGTCACCCGTTAAAAAGATTGGTTTGTCCTAGTAGTGTGGCCACATAGCAAATTGTGTTGCACCTTCTCCAAAGTATCCTCCAATTGTTGGTGGTGGTGGCGGCGGGGGTGGCGGCGGAGGACCCTTGTTCCTGTGATTAGGGCAGATGCAATATGGATCATTACAGAGTGCCTCCTGTGAACTGGCACCATTGTTGTCGTCTTCCTATTCATCGTCCTTGTAACCACTGCTAACTTCCCTTTCTAGATCGAAGATACGGTCCCACAGGTAGTAGATGTACTCCGCATGCGGATAAATAGGTCGAGGATCGATCCACCTAGTGAACCCACAGTTTTCTTCAGACAAGTAAGACTGCAATAAGTATGTCATGTAAGTTTTATAGAAGATGAACATATTAAAGAAACAAATAATAATAGCAATTACCCATGCCTACGGGCATTTGAAGAAACATCGGCCTCCATCTATTCCCTCGGTGAACATCTGCACTAGACAGTCCTCACCATGCATGCATTTTGGCCACTCTTCTTTTCGTTCATCGTATCCTCTCAGTGGTGCCTCTTTGGTGAAATCACTTTTGCTCTCGATTAGGAACCTCTCATAAAGAGCTTCCTCAAAGAAATCGGGACCAAAAGGACCCTCCACCTAATGGTAGTTCCCTTCCCCTTTCCTCTCCCTCTGGACGACCCTCTAGACATTGTTACTGCAACAAAAGATAATGTTGAGGAGTGCTCTTCCTTCTTGTTGTGTGTTTGAATGAGAGAGAGTGAGGGGTTATTTATAGGTTGAGACAAGGAATGGAGGCCTCTCAATGTGCCATGTTAGCGATCCGTGTGCCTCTTTGCCTCAGCCCTTAGATCAAACAGTAATAAGATGGATGGTGGAGATGGAGTGAAGTTGTGCTTCCTTGCATGCCTTCGTACCTATAGGTGTAGTATTGTCTAAAAAGCCTAGATTCGTTCATTGTTACTGAAAAGCTTATATTCATCTGCAAAGCATCTGTACGATACGATTGGACTATATACGTTCTACTGAATTTACATTTAATCTGTGTACTATATTTGTGCCTTTGTAGCAGTGAAGTATAATTAATGATTCACGAAAAAAATTCGCAAAAGTTTCCCTTGTTTCAGAAGCATCCACGGTTACAAGTAGAGACATCATTATATAATCCAAACATTTAATCGTCCAAATACCACAATACAACCACATCGAACATCACAATCAACATAACATGTCCTGCATAGTCCAAATAGTACACAATGTCCATACAGTCTCAAATAGTTATAGGAAAGTAACTACATACTTTCCAAATCTCCACACATGCAAAATAAGCAAAGTCCATGCAGCCCAAATAGTTTGTGTCATCAGATCTAAGTTGTTACCATAGTCTTAACCTACAAGTCGTCATCACCTTCTCCTAGTCTTACCCTTGCCCTTGTGGCCAAGAGCGTCGGTGCCTGGAGTGTACGTGCAAGGCGGACGACGTCTTCTCATTCCTGCAACCTGTGTAGCCTGAGTCGAAGGAGCGTCCTAGAGCTGAGACTCGGCAAGCTCATCATAACCACGCTCCTTGGCCTCCTCGTCGTCGTCCTCGTCTCCGTGGCCTTGGAAAGTGTCTACAGTCGTAGCGCTAGTACCTTCGTGAGAAGAAGAACTGAGGCCTACAGGTGTGTCTCATTGTCGTGCGTGTGGCCCATGTACGTCCATTGCAACGCTAGCACCACAACCACAACGAGCTGCAGCACGCCGCAGCCTACGTGCTAGCCTCTGTCATGCAAAGATGCAAAGATATTAAGTAGAAAACCATAGCTCAAACAACTTACTTAAGCATAAAACAACAAGAGGGCTAGTGTCGACTTACTCCAAGAAAGTTGTTTAGTGTGTGCTCGTCTACGCCTGTCCTTGGAAACCGTTCGATCTCAATCACAGATTGCTTCTGCGCGTTGCCCTGCAAAAAAAACACAAATAAAAATGCGCTTAAAATCTGAAATTAGAATCTTACTGAACCATGGCCTAATCCACCATCACGCTGGCAGCCCAATCCACCAACCATGGCCTAAATGAACCCCAACTCATCCATGCCAATGTGCCATGACACAGAAAATAGGTGGAGGTCCCTGGAGGTCCCAGGTGGTTGTTGGCTAGGTGGATGGGCCAGTGCTAACAGCGCAGCTGTCATCACCACCATCAGCACCAGACTAGAACCCATTCCTAAGGTATCGGCTAAGATTGATGTTTAAGCTGAAAAAGAGGTATACTAGTATAGTAGGGAAGACATAGCAACCAAATTTGCAACTGACAGAATGGGCATAAAGATATATAAATCTGATTGCTCGTATCTCTGAGGCTAGACCAGGGAGTAAAATGGATGAAATACAGTGTTGAAGCTGCAGATGAACGGGGAGAAAGAGAGATGAACGGGCATACTTGTCAATGCCATCCCAACAGACCAATATGCAGAAATTTATCTTGCTAACAAAATAACACAGAAATAGTTTATCTTGCTTTCTAAATTTCAGCTGTACTACGAGCTTGCAATGTTCCTAGGTTCAGTTACTGGGATGCTATATACTGCTTGTGTTTTAGTTCCACCAACCATGGCCTAAACCGAACAGTGCAGAGCAAGCAGTGGAGGTGTACATAAATTGAACACTTGATCAAAATTAGCTAACCATGCATTGAAGCCAACTATCATGTAAATCATGTGTGCATGCTAATCCAGCTTGCATTACGTGACATTTTATAAATTTGTTTGCTTAAATTATAATTGGCATGGATCACATACTATAATTCACATGTATACCCAGCTGAAATAAATAAGATGGGGTTATAGTTGACATTACCACTCGGTTCAGGATCAGCGTAGGCTCCACCTGTGTCCCGGCCCTCGTCGCAAGGTCGTAAGACGTTTGTTCGTCGTCGGAGGACTCAATGTCGGCATAGTCTGTTTGGGTCCATTACACCTTCAGCTTGGTCCTTGTTGCCCGGTTGTACCAAGATAGATACGCTCTGAAGTTCTCGTTCGTGTGGGGCCGGTCATTCTCATACAAGTTCTCATGAAAGTGATCCCAGTGGTCGATGTAGTCACAGTGCAAGGTCTCAAAGTCCGTCTCCTGTTGTTTCCGACGATCGATCCTGTAGGGTGCGAGAAATGAAATTCAAGTTAGTGGAGATGTAACCCAAATACCTTTCTTTATATTACAAATATACGCTACATCATTTTTGCTATGCGTGCTATGAATAAATCAATACATATGCATATGTATGATATATATATATATATATTTATTTTACTATTCTAGATTTTTATTGATACTCTTCAGTATCCCAAAGGTTATCGATATAAACTACACTGAAGGATCTGGTGATAGAAAGTGGAGTAGTACAAATTTTCCATGGACTAAGGAACTTGAGGTAATTTTCTTCAGTATCATTTTTTAATTATTTACAGCATCACTGATTTGTGAATACTATTTAACTTTTAGTGCATATTCAGGCCAAGAATAGAAATAAGTTTGGAATCTATTGCACTTGTCTCACTCATCCAAGACCAGATCATGCACTTGTCACAGGTAATGAACCATTTCATCTCCTTGTACATATTTCTCGGCGTTTTTTTTTTTATTTCTGATTGACTACCTTTTGGCTGGAGCAGGCAAATATTCCTGCAACTTATTTGAGTGGCAACTTGGACTGGTCTGAACAGCAAGAGATAATGAGAGATTTAAAGTCATGCCGCTACAAGTTGCTGTACGTCACTCCAGAGAAAATAGCGAGGTAAGTGGAATGGCGCCCATTGTGAGTTACACGTATGAAGCAGCTGTATTCAGATTAAGTCTCCAGGATGTGTTTGCTTTCTACTATTTGATCTCGGTGAGCTGTGTTGTTTCCAATTTAGACTAAAAAAAGTCTTATACCAATTTGTTTTAGCTTACAAGTTCAATATCCTGCAAGAATACATGTGTTTGAACTCTCCAGAAACCGACCCTCTCCCTGGAATTTGCAAAAGACAATGCTATTTCTCATTTTCATACCGCAAGTGATTTGGAAAGTTATTTTTGCTTCGAAGTTGTAGATACTGGTCTCTAATAAACATTTTGTTTCCTGAAACATAAATAACCTGCCTGTTTGCAAAGCATTGAAACTATTTCATCTTATACAGGAGCTTCAAGGATACAGAAGCAGTGGAAGGTATAATACCACTGGCATTTCTGATGGAAACACTGGTGGGTACAATTCTTCTCCCAACCCATATGGTGCAGGCAACTACGGTGCAGCCAACTACAATACAGGATGTTGCAGTGAGTGATCCACAGCAGCTGCCACAGTGCCACACTTGGGCAACACAGCTGCTACTGACTGTCTACAGTAGTATTATACTTCTCTTTCCAGATAGTACATGCACTGATTTTTTTTACTAGCTTTATAATTTGGCATTAGTTTCTGAATAATTTCTTAGCAAGTTGAGTAAATATCACTTCTTGGCAAGAGAATAATGAAATAGGTTCCAGCCTCAAATTCAGCATACTCAAATAGGTATCATGTTTCATATTAGCAATCCAGCATGATGAGAGAACAGGTGATATGCTCCCTACCAGGTCAGATTCATGTCAAATCATGCATCTTTGAAATCAAATCTAAAAAGAACATAAGAGTAAATTGGAGGTAGGAATGGACCAAACAGTACATTGAGGTGCAATAGTTAAGTCCATTGGAGTTTTTGAATCTGCAAGATGATAGGTACACAGCAGTTTTCAGGTACACAGGAAGTCAAATTCAGATTCCTATTTTCTCGGGATCAAACTCAGCGATCTAGAATCTAGAAAGATGATAGTGCAAAATTGCTAAAATTTGGAGAAAAAGCATTGGAATATACATTATCATAACAATGATCTAGGTGGGGATCAAACTCCGTAAATTATTAGTCTCTAAAGAGAACATATGCTATGCTGCACCTGTTTTGGTCCCAAAGCAACGAGATATCACAGCAGAGACCAAAATTGCAGGAAAAAAAATCCAATGATGGCCAATGGCACAAGTTCAGCAGTTGTAAACTGTAGGGTTATACAACTGCTGAACTTCTACTTGCTAAGATATATATAGCAGAACCTATGAGACAGATCGCTATTGCTAGTACATCGCCAATGACACCAGTCAAAATCCAATGATGGCCATCATAGAAGCACCATGTGAATAAGACACAAGCCAACATATCATGGCCAATAAGACACTGCATCTTTGCAGCTGAACGCCCATGTCAATTTGAAGACAATGCAAGAAAACGACAGGACACCCAATATTTATACGTGAGACATTTCAGTAAATTTTGTAATAGGATCATTAATAGCATAAAACAAGTTCAGATCCAATTCACTAGCAGAAAAAGAATCAGTTCACATCCACTTTGTTTGATCATTGTCCCAACTAAGCACTAAACAAGCAAGCAGCAAACATATACCTCTATCAATTATTCCTTCTCCACTTACTTCTACATGAGCACAGCAGCTAGCACCTCCCCTAAGCAAAACGTAGGAAAAAATACTTCTAGTCTGAGCTCTGATTTCGTGTAAGACCGAGACCGAAAGAGCAGAGATGAGATAAACAAAAGAGCTCTAGGTCATTCCTCGGTACTGCTGTTGTCCTGATGCTTAGGATCATTGGTCTAAGGCCTACACTTGTTTTTAAAAAAAAATATCATTTACATGTGTTGTCTCAGTGTTTCTGTTTTTGAAAACTTGCTGGCAATTTTATCGAGTACAGGGTTTGCCACCCTGTTGAGACTGTTGGAAAATGTATATTCATGAAGGCATTTTTCTATATGATGAGAGACGTTCATGGTTAAATTAGATGACTTCTTGATGTGGCTTTTACTATCTGTCAGGGCTTAGGTGTTCTAAAACAAAACTTCCCCAAGACACCAGTCCTGGCCTTGACTGCAACAGCAACTGCTAGGGTTAAGGAAGATGTTGTGCAAGCTTTAGCCCTTAAAAACTGCATTGTTTTCAAACAAAGTTTTAATCGTCCAAAACTGAGGTGCGTGCCTGTAAGCAGTAAGGTATTGATGCAAGTTCTATTGTAGCAGACCATCTCAGATTTAAGTTGGGCTTTGCAGGTATTACTTAAGACCCAAGACAAAGAAATGCGTTAAGGACATTGATATGTTTATCCGCAAAAATCATTCTGAAGAATGTGGCATTATATATTGCCTTTCAAAAATGGATTGTCAAAAAGTGGCAGAAAAACAAAGGGCTATTTCTCGAAACTATAAGCTGTTCATTGTTCGTATGGATATTTAAGTTCTATTTTAGCAGATTGAATTCTTGAGTATTTAATAAAGTTCAAAGACGCTTACTTGTGCAAGTCTATTGACGTCGAGAACGGCTCCACGGGCCACTCCTGCCTCAACCCAAACTGGCGTGTAACCCGGTGTGGCAGGTGGAACTCAACCGCATAGAAACAGATCAACGGACACCGCATCAAGTACAGGTCTTCGTCCATCTTGCACATGATGCTGAACCCAATGTGCTCGTACTGTTCGTCCTCGTACGGCTCCCAAGTAACCTGCATTTGATTCTCCAGTCACGTAGTGCTTACATCGGGAAAATAAATTAGTATGTGAAATGCAGCTAACTCACCAGCCTTGGCGTGAGTGCGTCGAGCTCGTTCGCGAACTCGATGTAGGCGCCTTTACTCCGGGCGAAGGGACCCTTAACCTGGTCCCAAAGGTAGGCATACGTCGGCCGACGTCGAAGGCCATGCACCTCGAACCAGGGACGAGGATCACCAACTTGGGGCCGACCGACTGGTAAACGAGACCACATCCAAAGCTGAAGCAGGTAAACACATCCTCCTAATGAAGAGTTCGCCGAACTCCGGCGGCAAGCCTCGCAAAGCTGCCGGTACAAGTACCACAGCACTGCGGAACCCCAGTTGTAGCCCCCCGCCGTGTCCCGGTCAGTAAGACAGGGCAGGTACATCCATGACGCGGTGTCTCCCGTCACGTCGGGGAACATAACACAACCAAAAAGATGCATGATCCATGCCCTGCATTAGTAGGTAACTGTCTGCTCGTCTGCATGATCAGGACACCGACCAAAGTTTTGCCTTAGCCAACTAATGAGTACTCCAGAGGAGCGGGCACCCGGTGTCTCTAGAGGAAGCTCTCTTCCAAGGAAGGCCTCCACTCTACCTCTCCAACCAGCAGCAGTGCAGGGGCCGAAAACTGGGGCGGCCACTTATACGGACACCCAGGAACTTCTGCGTGTCCTGAAGAGTAACGGTCATCTCTCAGCAAGGTAGGTGAAAGCTGTGCGTCTCCGGCCTCCATCTACAAAACAAGAAAGAAGTACTAAGGTTATATGCACATCGAGAACCAAAAATATAAATGGAAGCGAATCTGTTCATAATTTTGGTACCTGTCGACTAGAGCTGAGATCGCCGCGGGGTTGAAGTCAGGCACCCCATGGCGAACCTGGAACGATACAACTTCAAGTCCAGCCCTCTCAAGGAGAGGAGTGTACATGTCGTCGTACCGCATGTCCTCGAACTTATCGTAGGAACGAGGACGAAGAGGGTTCAGTTCCTACAAAGAATAGAAATTATTATATTAATTCGTGAACACAAGTACATGTGCAGAGGAAAAATAACATGCAGAAGTAAAGTCGTTACGTCCCCCTCCGCGGTGAGTCGTCCTCGGTGGTTCTCCTCATAGTACGGCTCCAGCAGGTGGAACGGCTCCATCCTACAAAATATAATGACAAAGTACATATAAGTTTTATATGAACAAATAAATAACTTTTTGGTACTAGTAAATATGCATGTGAAACATTAGTTATTTACACCTGACTAAGCGGCCAATGGCATGTACGTGAATTATGCCCAAGTCTACCACATTTGCCACATTGGTTCTGCTCGGGGTCAGTAAGAAAGGGGGTTGCTCTCCCTCGCCTCGTTCTACCAGAAATCTGGTCCATGACCATCTTGTGCCTCGTCCTCTTCCGGGTTCCACGTTTGTCCCAACGGGTACCTGGATCGCAATGTATTTCGGCCCAGTGTAAGGTGGCCACTGACCCTCATCCAGGAAAGGCTCAAAACGGGGAGACCAAGTCTGTACAAGGCTATCAACACTAAATTCCGATGGTATCTGGGTCTCGTTGGCAAAGTTGCAATGTTGAGATGCTGCAACATAATGAGAAATAGGGAAGTGGTACTGCCTGGTTTTTCCACATCGGCATGAGAAATTACTAAGTACCATAATATAACTCCTTGATGGCCAGACCTCACCATCGGACGTTGTACCACCCCTTTTTGTGACCTGGTACTTGTTGGTGCTATGGTCAAAGCAATCGACGTCATGTGTGACAGCACTTTCCTTTGCCTTGTCGAGATGCTTATTAGGTTTAGGTGCCCATTTCTGATTATTACTCTGTAGTGCTATTGCTTGAATGTGTCTATCGTTAAACCATGCAACTAGCCTATAAAAGGTGAATGATACAATGGCATTGACGGGCATGGCACGTATACCCTTGAATACACTATTAAATGACTCCGCCATGTTGCTAGTCTAAAACTCGTACCTCCATCCACCATCGTCGTAGGCTCTTGTCTATTTCTCAGGTTCTCTCATCAATCCTCTCAGCCATTGCCTATCTTCTACGTTTGTTGCCATTTTTAGCTGCTCCAACTTCTCCTCGAAGAACGGCACCTCAAGCATGTGAGCAACCTCCTCGAATAGTGGAAAGTTGTCCTTCGTACCATCCTTCCGAAGTAAATTCTCGGCAAGGTGTCGAGTGCACCAACGGTGGAGCAAAGGTGCATACCCCGGAATCTGCTCATGTATGGCACTGAGTATGCCTTGGTGTCTATCAGATATGACACCTACCTCCCTATGAGGGCCAATGACATGGATCCTAACAAGCCGCAAGAACCATCCCTAGCTATCTTTGTTCTCCCTCTCCACCAAAGCGAAAGCCAAAGGAACCAATGCGTTGTCTGCGTCACAAGAACTGGCTACCAAAAGTGTGCCCATGTACTTGCCAAGTAGAAAAGTACCATCAATGGATAACACTGGACGACAATGCCTGAAGGCCTCGACGCACTGGGGAAAGCACCAGAATGCACGAAAGAATATCTGCCTCCCGTCCTTCCATTCATTCGGCTTCGGGATATACTCGCAATGCATGCCTGGATTTGTTGCTTTTATTGCATTGAACATTGCAGGCAACTACTCGTACCCCTCCTCCCAATCCCCATATATCATCTTCCAGGCCTATTGCTTTGCCCTCCATGCTTTCCCATACTTTATGTCATACTTAAATATCTCCTTACTCATCTCCATAATTGTCCTGACCTTCAAGTTGTGCTGACCCTTCAAAGTTGTGTATAACTTTCTGGTAATGAGGGTAGAGGTCAACTGTCTATGCTTCTGTTTTAGATCTGTCTAGGCACAAGTGTGTGGACTTACAATTTTGGTGATCTTGAATTTCCCTGTGGTCTTCTGTTTGCGAGCACAGACCCTCCAATTGCAATCTGCCATCTCGCACACCACCGTGTAACGATGCTCCATATGAGAGTGCCTTACCTTGAATGGTCTCTTACGTCTCACAGAATATTCCTGTAGCCACCTTCTTAAAGTGGGCAAGTCCTTGAAGACCATGCCCAACTAAATTTCCATGCTGCCATCGGCCTCTGGAGCCTCTAGCAGCATGTTGAGAATGACTAAGGTCGCAGAATTCATGAACCAGTGGATCACGATCAGGACACAAGCGTCTAATGAGCTCCATTTCTTGTTCGCTCAAAGCTGCAACTGGGCGGTCATCATCAGAATCAACAGCCCTTGCTATGCCATAAGGCTCCTCATCATCCGCAATATCAACATCTACACTGTTAGAGGCCATAAACCCTGGGTCCACGTTGGTTGATGGAGGAACAGGAGCATAACCATCATTATCAGGATTGTCTCCTGCATTTAAAGCACAAATATAGATACCACAGAGACAAAGGAATGGAATGAACAAAGAATAAGGAGAGCCAAAGTGTTACTAAATCACTTACTAGGATGATTCTGGGTCAAAGGGATCTCCTGAGGGGCACCTACAATATTATCAGTCTCATATTTTGCACGGACACCAGGACATACACCAACCCCATTAGGGACAGATTGAGCATCGGGCACCACAACCGCATCTTCCACATCCACCTCACGGTTGAGTAACAGAGGCTCATAGGGTGCCGGATTCTCTGGTGCTGGCAACAACCCATGAGGGGGTGAATGAACATTAGGGGATGAATACCCATGAGGGGTGGGATCATTGGACAACTTCCGCACAACCAAATCCAAACATTGAAACTCATTCTTCATGATAGTTTTGACATATTTGTCCCATTGAGCCACTGATGCAATTGGGACCAACCACCTCAAAATTGTCCCTGACCTGCCATGGTGAAGTACCCCTCAACTAAGATGGCATCTTCATTTGAATTGCATTTAAGCTCATCACAAGCCCTACCAAACAACTCACAAAACAATGGCCGATCATCGAATATCACTGGCACCCTTTGCATTCAAAAAAACTGACATTACCAAACTCATCTTCCTCCACACTTCCTCCATGATACAGGGTGACTATGTTGTCCATCTAGTTGGTATGCACATCAACCAAGTTATTACGGGTATATTATTATAAGACAACTAACCATAATATCTAACTACATTTGCTAACTAAATTACCTAACTATCCACCTAAACAAATAAGTATCTAACTATCTAACTATCTCTATAACAAGATAAGAGATTTGGTAACTACACTTACTAACTAGCTAACTAAATCAATAGGTAACTAACTCCCTAATTATGTCTCTAACAATCTAATCTAACTAAATAAGCTACATACATATATTCCTAAGTATATAATATAACTAAATAAATAAGCATCTAACTTTCAACATATGTAATTAAATTTGCTAACTAAATTTGCTAAATATTCTAAAAAAATTACTAACTAAATTATCTAAAGTACATTAACTAATTTAAGTTAACTAAAAAATTACTAACTAATCTAAGTTACCTGGATGGCCTGCTCGCGCATGGCCCGGAGGGGCAGGGGGCGCAGGGCCCGGAGCCCAGCCGACCGGCGGGAGCTTCGGCGAGCGGTGGCGGGCTGCCCTCGCCACCAGACAAAGATGAAGAGGAGGGAAGGGGCGACGAGGGCGGCCGGGCTTCGCACGGCGACGGGTCGCGGCGGCGCCCTGCTGCGGGCGGTTGCGCGGGGGTGCAGGAGCCGAGAAAGGGAGGGGG